GGAGGGGATAATAATAATGATAAAAATAAAAATGTTTTTTTTATATAGCACATTCCCTGCTCGACAGCAAACTCTTAAGTAACTTCCAAATGGACGGCTGAAATTAATTATTAACTAGCTGTATCCGTTTTTCTTACAGGCCGATACGATAGGCAGAGCGTCCCTGGGGTACATGGTCAAGAAGCCAAAGCACATCTCGTCATTGGTACCGTCACCCCAGTAGACCCAGCGGTCAGAGGACAGAGAGTTGAACACACACGTCGTCTTGATCTCGTCCCCAGGCAGGATTTGAACCGGGGGCTGGTGGCTGGTTGGTGCGAGAAGAAGAGGAAGTAAAAAAAAAGAATGCGCAAGCATTCTTATAAAATGAAGTAATGAAATGAAGTAAATAAAATGGACATCTTTTATTATTAAGCCTTGAAGAATGTTTGGTTTTCTGAGGTAGACTCAACATTAATTTTAACTAACAATCAAAGACATGCAAGCGCGCCATGTGTATAACATCGACTGTTTTAAAACCATTTTAGACATTACAGCATTGGATTTAGAAAATAGTTTCTGTTTTTTGTATATTATAATTCGTCATTCTGAAACACTTTACGCCATCAGTCTATGAGGCTCTTTATTATTTCTTTCTCCTCCCTGTTTCAGTCTTGTCTCTCAATATCAAGGAGACAAAAAACTTTTCCCGACGGGGAATCAAACCCCAGTCTCCTGAATGACAGGCACGGATACTTATCACTATTCTACAGACTTCAACAAATGTTGAGGACCTCCTTAACAGACACCCCTGATTTGTTTAAAATCCGTAACAAAAAATACAGCAAGGAATATATTTTTAAAATTTTTTGCTCCGAAAGTGTTAATGGGTTACCAGTGCGTGCTGCAAAGCCTCCTAAAGGACCAAAACCACTACGTGCAGCACGGAAATCCTCGGGGGATTTTAGCCAAACGTGCTGTTTTTCTATCGACTTCTGTGTGGCACTACAGATATTCCTGAGTTAAAATTTCTGGTGTACGTCATAAACGGACAGACGGTCTCGAACTGTGCTCACTTTGGAGGCAATGTAAGCCACCGTTTGCGTAAAATCCAGTTAGGCATCAACATGCCACCAAGACGAAAGCTGAGAGACTTTGATCGCGCCAGAGCTATGGCATGGCTGCAGGATGGAGTTGGAGCCTGAGAAGTTGCCAGAAGGCTTGCAGTGTCACACTCTGTCATTGTCCGCTTTAGGCAGCGCCATCAAACCACTGGATCAGTCCAAGAACGCCCACGTGCAGGTCGACCCAACAAGACCACTCAGAGTGTTTGCAAGTGGTCCTTAGCTTATGTTGAAGTCTGTACTAATGACACACTTCCCTTGCTGCAACATTATAGCTTATTCGATGTGTGACGGGTTGGCTTACACACAAATCTCAGCTGTGCCCACCAAAGACACGTTCACTTCAGCAGCCGTGAATATTTCTATTCGGGATAATAGACCATTACTTTGTACCAAATGAAGACTACAAGGGGAAAACGACGGTAGTCACAAACTGAAAATCGTGAGAGTACTAATTTGAACGCTTATTGAGTCATAAGTGTAATTCTGGTCAACTGGTGGTTGAATATTGTTGTTAGATTTACAATTCAACAACACTTAACAATAAACCACCAGTCAAACAAATCTGAAATTACGAGTCGACAAGCTTTTAAAATTGGCACCCTCACAATTTCCACTTTGTGACTACCGTCATTTTACCCGGTGCTCTTCAAATGTAAAAAAAATAAATTTGTAAAGCTAAATAGAAAGGTAGATAGAAAGGTAGATATATAGACAGACAGATAGATAGATAGATAGATAGATAGATAGATAGATAGATAGATAGATAGATAGATGGCTCACTCGTGCTGAATGGGATTGTCGTAGCTGTAGTAATCTTCATTGGACAGCTCCTTGATCAGCCTTCCGTTCCTGAACAGCTCGATCTTCATAGCCCGACCTGAATAATTATATAGGTAAAAAAGGGAACGTTTAACGTTACGAGTCTCACACTTATTGTGAGGCGTGCTGACACAATGACTTACTTACCACAATCCACAAACGGAGACATATTGACAAAAATTCGACCATAAGATCAAATTTGTAGAATGTTTTTATTGATGTCATATTCTTAAACTATAACATTTCTTTTATTATTTCACACTTATAAACTGTAAAGACTTCTCCTATAAACGTGATGTATCTATTTCTGTAAGGCTTGAATCCGAGAAGTAACTCATTTTGTCAGAACGCTTCACATTTGATTTTTAAATCAAAGTTAAAATAGTGTCAATATCAGCATACAGCAGTAGTAACAACAACAACAACAACAACAACAACAACAACAACAACAACAACAACAATAACGAAAGCAACAACAACAACAACGCAAACAACAAAAAGCAACAGCAGCAGCAACCACAGCAACAACAACAACACGACCAACATCCTGCTCACCCAGATAGTGCATGTGGTTGAACACCACCACCACCACCACCAACAACAACAACAACAACACCAACATCCTACTACTCACCGAGATAGTGCATATGGTTGAACACACTGATGACGTAAGCAGGTTTAGCGAAGAGAGCGCGTGTACAGTCGCTGGGGCATGTTCCAATCTGCTCCACCCTGCTTTCACCTGAAGAAATATAACGATGATTGATTAACTTCGGTGTTTTTCGTTAAAACAAGTTCTTAAGTTAAATGTGTCTTTAAAACGTTCGAAATTCTAGGTGCCTTTAAAAAAGAGAGGGTTCATTTAAAGGGCAATAACTCAATTTTAACATAACTTAGAACAAATTATATTCAACAAAAGCGTTACATATGTGCATATTTATGTAGAAAATCTACAGAGACCTGTTCGCAAAATATCAAGTTTAGAGAATTCTAACTTAATTTCAACTCCTTAAAAATCGGATGCAATTTTTGCGGTAAAAAACATGCTTTTATTGAAACCGACATTGTCAGACTAACCAAGGGAAAAAGTTGGCTATCTACAGCTTCAGGTTTGAGAATTTCTGTCTAGAAAACTTCGAATGTGCCTCAGGGAATTTTGAATGCCTCCCTGGCATGTTCCTGGAATTATTTTTTGAACCTCATGTTCAACACCTACGAGGTCCCATCATGAAAATAAGCAGATCCTGTATCTGTATCCATATATCCATGAAGACTATTTTGCTGTATGGTTCAAAGACATGGAGGCTCACAGCATCAGCAGCAAGGAAACTACAGAGCTTCAAAAATGGATGTCTGAGAAGGATAGTGGGGATCAAGTGGTACGATCGAGTCACAAATTAATGCTCAACTGTGGGAAGAACAAGCTTAAGGCCAGTAAAGGAAGACGTACAGGTGAAGAAATGGAACTGGATTGGACACACCCTGAGGAGAGCCCCGACAAGCATCATCAGACAGGCTTTGACGTGGAATCCACAAGGAAAAAGTCAGAAAGGAAGACCAAAGATGACATGGAGGCGAGGGGTACAAAGGAAATGGAAAAGGCGGGGACACCATGGTAACAGCTAGAAAAGGATGCTTAGGACAGTCTTCAGCTGGAAAAATGTTATTGATAGCCTGTGCTCCACTGGGAGTTAAAAAGGGCACGGGAGAGAGAGAGAGAGAGAGAGAGAGAGAGAGAGAGAGAGAGAGAGAGAGAGAAAGAGAGAGAGAGAGAGAGAAAGAGAGATCTGTTGGAACAACTTGGCGGTATCTTGAGAATCCTCTGTCCCATCATGAACGTGAGCAGATCTTGTATCTGTATCTGTATCTGTATAAGTATATCTATTCTTATATCTATATATGTATGCTTCCAGGGAAGCTGAGAATGTTTCTGAGTGTTCTAAGGTATGCTGGGGTATAATGTAGTGTAAAGCGCATAGAGGTTGCTTTCGAGTGGGGACATGCACTATACACATGCTATTTATTATTATTATTATTATTATTATTATTATTATTATTATTATTATTATTATTATTATTATTATCTATATCTGTTGGCCCCATCTGGCGGTATCTTGAGAATCAGCGGTCCCGTTATAAAAGTGAGCAGATCTAGTGTCTGTATCTGTATCTGTATGTATATCTATTTCTATATCTATATCTGTATGCTTCCAGGGAAACTGAGAATGTTTCTGAGTGTTCTAAGGTATGCTGGAGTATAATGTAGTGTAAAGCGCATAGAGGTTGCTTTCGAGTGGGGACATGCGCTTATTATTATTATTATTATTATTATTATTATTATTATTATTATTATTATTATTATTATTATTATTATTATCTACATTTATACCTGGCGGTATCTTGCGAATCCTCTGTCCCGTCTTGAAAGTAAGAAGATCCTTTATCTGTATCTGTATCTGTATCTATATATCTATATCTATATCTATAACGATATCTATCTATCTATCTATCTATCTATCTATCTATCTATCTATCTATCTATCTATCTATCTATCTATCTATCTATCTATCTATCTATCTATCTCTTTCTCTCTCTCTCTCTCTCTCTCTCTCTCTCTCTATATATATATATATATATATATATATATGTATATATATATATATATATATATATATATCTGTTGGACCTACCTGGCGGTATCTTGAGAATCCTCTGTCCCGTCATAAAAGTGAGCAGGTCCTGAATCTGTGGCAGGGAGGGCCTGTAGTAGAGTCTGAGGCCGCTGGAGTCCCGGTAGTTGGTCACGCCGGCTGGGTTGTTCCAGTGAGTCTGCACAAGTTGATCGATTGATTGATTGATTGATTGGTTGATTGGTTGGTTGGTTGGTTGGTTGGTTGGTTGGTTGGTTGGTTGGTTGGTTGATTAATAGATAGATAGATAGATAGATAGATAGATAGATAGATAGATAGATAGATAGATAGATAGATAGATAGATAGATAGATTGGTTGATTGGTTGATTGATTGATTGATTGATTGATTGATTGGTTGATTGCCTGATTGGTTGGTTGGTTGGTTCACTGGTTAGTTGGTTGGTCTGTTTGTTGGTGGGTTGGTTGATTGGCTGGTTGAATAATTGGTTAATTGATTGAGTGACTAAGTGAGTGAGTGAATGAGGGAGCGAGTGAGCAAGTGAGAGACGGATGGAAGGATTGATTTAAAGATGATGGATAGACGTATTAATTAAATGTTTATTGAATTGATTTGTTGATTGATGATGGATAGATGGATGGGTTGATTGATTGATTGATTGGTTGATTCATAGATTGATTGATAGCGAAAAGATAAATGAATTGTCTGGTTGGTTTTAATTGATTGGATAATTGTTTGGTCGATGAATTGATGGCTTCACTGGTCAGTTCTAATTGTTCCCTTTTCAGTCGATTGATTTATTGACTGTTTAAATTACTAATTAATCAACTATTTAGTTGTTAAACTTGTTGATTAATTGGATGACTGATGAGGAACTGGCTAATTATATTACTTACTAAGTATAGCCGGGGTTCTTGAATGGTTTGTTTGGTGAAAAGACTCTTTATTTCATTCGTTAATTCATATTTCAACTAACCAGTTCGTTAATTCGTTACTTGACTGATTCAATGACTGTTTTACCAACCTACACCTATCATTTAACTAATTAAATGAATGATTGGTAACATATATTACTAGATGACCGGTCTATTGCTTGACTGATGCATCAATGGAAAGAGGTTTAAATGATTTTTCTTGCAAATCTAAAACAAAAAAAAACAAAAAAATAATGATATTAAATCAAGGAAGGAGTAGTATTTTGGTTTCTTTTTAAGATCTGTATTAGAGCTAAACGTACGGCTGACACATATATATATATATATATATATATATATGTATATATAATATCTATAATTATTAAAAAGACATGCTTCTGTTTCATTTTTATAACGTTAGCGTTAGTCCTATCTGCCTTTGCTCAGATGAGTCACGAAGGATGTGAAAGTTTCAACGTACCTCCAGACGGACTCGCTGATAGCCCGAGGCTCCGATCCTGAAGCCCAGGTTCTCCGGCAAGCAGACGCCTGGAACCCCGACGGCCCACAGCCCTATGATGGTGTTACAGTCGTTGTTGGATTGAGACATGCCACACGACTCTGGTGCAGGGATTCGAACTCCGTTGGCTGGTGAAAGAAAGTTTAGTTTTAGTAAGAGTTTAACGGCACTTGCAACACAATAAGGTGTGTGTGTGTGTGTGTGTGTGTGTGTGTGTGTGTGTGTGTGTGTGTGTGTGTGTGTGTGTGTGTGTGTGTGTGTGTGTGTGTGTGATATAAGTGCCGAAGATTAGAAGTGTTACAAAAGAGGTAACACAGACAAAAAAGAAAGAGGAGAGATAAGGACGATAGATGTTTGATAGGAAAAAGGGGCAAACTACACCAGAGCTCCCGCCAACCACCCACGGTGAAAAAAAGAGGTGCAATAAGATGCTTTCTTCCAAACGTACAAGTTATTCTTTTGTCACAAAAGTAATACTGCTTTAGTTGAGGGACGGCTTTTGTTGAACTGTCCACGTCTTTTTATGCAAGAAAAAAACTGAAATTATGCAAACTGAGCCCAAAAATGTGAAATTATGCGATTTTGTTAATTTTAACAAAGAATGGTTATTTTATCAGAAATTCTGCAAAAAATGATCAAATTTGGCTAAATTAAAAGGGGTGCATAAAACTACTGGGACAGGTTGAATCTTGCGTAAAATGACTGGGCCAACTTTGACCTCTACTGAGACACAGTGAACTCTTCTAAGGCTTGAACCTTTAGGTGAGGCAGCGTGATGGAATCAGGCTCTCGTCAATGTTTGGGCGTATAGAGTTATTGGTATCACCTTAAAGCTTGTTCATTTGTCTTTATTTGGATGAAAAAAAATATCCATTTATCTTGAATACAAGTCGAGATATTTACGAAAGAAGGAGGTGGGGGTCACCTGTTTTCTGAGGTAACATTAGTGAGAAAATGGCCGCCAAATGTTAGTTATTTCCTTAGCTTAAGAGTCCATGATAACTGAAAATTAACATTTTCTGTGCCTTTAATCAAGGTTTTTCAGAAAAATCCACTTAGAAATGAGTTCTCTAAAGGACATGACAGTTGTTGAGCCAAAAAACAAAAATTGAATAAAAATTCACAAACCTGAGGGAAAATGCAAGCTTTTTCATTTTGATTAGTTTGACGAGAGCCTGATTTCACCACGCTGCATCACACTGGTCTTCCGAACGCTGTTTCTATACCACAAAATGCGTTTGGTAACGTTGCTTTTGGTTATAGATTCTCGTTGACTGAATTTCTGTTTTTTTCCCCCAGTGTTTTCGTATTACGTTTTACGCCTAAACCTACACAAGTTGGATTGTTAAGGAGACGGGTAGCTTTGATTGGACTCAATCTCCATGCATGACTGATATTTCTAGCTAAGCCCCCCTGTAACAACACCCTGTATTGTTATGGTTTCAGTATGGCACCGTTCTTGCAATAAAAAAAAGTGCGCGGCCTTGAGTTTAATGAGCAATTAATTACCAATGATTATATAGGCAGCACCTCTTTATTTTTGTCGATTATGCACGAAAATCGAGATCTTTTAAGGTCTTTGAGAAAGCATAGGCGCATGCAAAAAATCAAACCATTTCGGCACTTAGATTCGGGGTAATGAGGTCGACAAGTAGTCCATTTATTGGAGTTGCTCAGACTATAACAAAATCATATTTTTTCAGACTAAACTTGCTGCAAAACAAAGCAGTGAACAGGCGTACGACTTGTAAAGGGTTATACGGGGTGCCCACTACGGCTGGATCGGGCCGATCGCCCGACGCGGTCTCCTGAACCGGAAAACAAACACGTTTGTTTTATAGGCGGCCGAGTCGGCGATCGATCGGCCCAATCGGACGATCCCATCCGTAGTGGGTACCCCGTATGAAACTGACAACAAATACGTTTGTTTTTATGGCGACCGAGTCTATTTTAAAATTTGTTTTGTTTAAGAAATAAAACAATTAGTATTACTGGACACATCGTTCTGGCTGTAGTTTTATTTGAACGTTTGTTTTTTAGGTGACCGAGTTGGGCGATCCCATCCGTAGTGCCCGATTGGCCGATCCCATCCGTAGTGGGCACCCCGTATTAGTATTACAGTTCAACTCACGATCGGTGCAGCCGTAGAGCAGGATGTGGTGAAGGACGTTGGCGTTGTCGATGAGCGGCTCGTACGCGATGATGTGGTAGTCCTGGTCACTGGGTAGGTCAAAGGTCATACAGAAGTAGTTGGTCTCTGTGGCGGGAACTCTGGTGTCGGTGAACCGGAGGTCGATGGATCTCACCTCTGTGGACGGAAGTAGACCACAAGACATTCAGTTAACCCTATCCGTACGTCGTATTTTACTATCGTATCCATACGACGTAGGGAACCCTGTGCCACCACTTAACCCTATCCATACGTCGTGTTTTACTATCGTATCCATACGACGTGGGGAACTCTGTGCCACCACTTTCCAAAGAGGAAATTTACTCGTTTATCCGATCCGTTCGCTTTGCATAGTAGTCTGTCAAAATGATTTTTTGAGAAATACCGAAAGTTTTAAAGAGATCTTTGTAAAAGTCTAAAATGTGAAGAATACAAACCCGGGGGTACAAAACGACCCGTGGGCGTACGGTTGAATATGAGAATTTTTTTCTGAACATTTTTTTTTACAGGATGTTTAAATTTTCTCTTCATAATATGATTTTTAAAAAATCAATTTTGGTTTATTTAGACAAAATTTCAAGTATTTCCTTGTTATTATGCCTAATAAATGTAAAATTAGATTTACAAAAAAAGTTGTCTAATTTTTCCATCAAAATGGCTCCCAAAATCATAACTCCACACTATGGATGAAGAAGGTTTTGTTGGTTGGTAATTTTAACTCATAATTTCATATTGTAATACGGTTTCAAAGATGATATTATGTTCCTAGTTTTTTAAATTATTTTTTTTTACTATCGGTGTGTACAACACTTTCCTTACCTTTACTATCATAGATGTTTTAGATGTAAGGGATTTTTTTTCACCGATCGACACGATTTAGTTCATTTAGCTGTTGTAGAGATATCAGAAGTGCTATTTATTTAGTCAACATAACAGGGTGTACAGGGAAGAAAAAATAGTTGATGTGTTAACAGTTTTCTTTTAAAATAAAAAAAGTCCAGTTTTACTGGCTCTCATAGGAAAACGTGGTTACAACTTGCATAAATACGCACGTGAGTGAGTATACGTGTATTATATTAACTTACAAACAAAAATGCACCAACGTTATTTTACACACAACTTCATCACGTTAATACAACAGATACGCTAAAGACAACAGAATCACTTGCTAGTCGGCAGGAGCTACATTGTGGCGTCGATGGCCTAGTGGTTGGGCTCTCGGACTCGCAACCGTAAGGTCGTGGGTTCGAATCCCGTCAGGAGCCCGACGTTGTGTCCTTGGGAAAGGCACTTTGCACAAATTTTCCTCACTTC